TCTGGAATTTTTGGCTTTTCATCTACACATGTTTCAAGGCAGCAGCTTGTTCAGAAAGCTACCGAGTCATAATGATGAAGACAAGCGAGCTCTGCTCGCCATTAAATATAGAGCGAGTTGTCCCCCCAGGTAATGCAAATGGTTCATGTGAAGCCAGCTTTTAAAGACGATATAGTCTTTTTGGGGGACCTTCAACGTAAAAATTTTGGTCTGTCTGTCTGTCTGTCTGTCTGTCTGTCTGTCTGTCTGTCTGTCTGTCTGTCTGTCTCTCTGTACATTTGTCAGTTTGTCCACTCTTGACAGCATCTGGTACTTGAAACGGCCGACCCCATCCGCAGCGCCCACCTATGTTTCTCAAGATTCAGCATTCATATTTATGCAATTTTCGATTAAAAAGCAATTATTGCGCGTGTCTTGGGCACCATAACAACACGTATATATTCTGCATGTGCGCCTTTTACTAGAAAGGGCATACATAAGTAATTTTAAAGACCGTAGCGCTTATCACGCTGCACTGACCATCCAACGGAAAGGCGAGTGTTTCCAACGCTTTGTTAAACAAGACGGTGCTGGCACCTACCCGTCGTATTGCGTTCTACACCTTATCACCTCTGAGGCGGGCGCGCACACCCGTCTAAGAGCCACGTGCTTTGTTTTTTGAGGATAAAAACACTGCCAGATGGCGCTCAGTTCTCACGTGTGACGTGACTTGGTGAGCTAGTTCGCCTCCACTGCACGATCGAGGCACTCTAACGCAGTGCCTATAGAAAACCATTCACCAATTTTCTTGAGCAGAACATCAAATAAATGTTTTGTTCACTCTCTCCACACGCAAGACTATCGTCTTTCAACGACATTTGCAGAATAATTGCAGATGCGGGGCCAATTTTTTTAGCATCTTTTATTCAACAAATGATTTTTCTGGAAGTAAAGCGGAAGCCAACGCTGTCAGCTCTTCCTGCACTGCTGCACTAAAACAGTATACCAGCAGTCTGTACAACACAACGAAAGTATTTCTTTCTGTCTCTGCGAACTTGCGCTCGGTACTGCTTCTCTACGTAAGTTTCGCCGAAGATGCTATGGGCGTCCCACATTTCAGTGGCACGAGATTGCAAACGCAAACGGCAGTAATCACGTTACACTAACTCCATCCGCAACTCTATCCCTAACTTCATCCCGCTCCATTCGCAAGCCGAAGCACGCACGGAAGAAAAAAAGGGCTAATCGAAGTCCTAATTTATTCACGCTTGGTTGCCCTAGTACTGAAAGGGGACCTTGCATAAGTAATGAATTTCACGATGCACTCATTCTCTGAGAGAAAACACAAAAAGGGAAATAAACTGAGGTCTGGCTTGGCTGACTTCTCGGAAAGAGTCTGCTGAGCTAAGGAAAACGCTAATGGGATAAAGAATTGGGAATTTAAGGAAGATTGTCTCTTATGTTCTCCAGCATGCATTATAACTAAGAAAGCGCATGTATGAGGTTATATCAATACAATCGAAAAAAGCGTGAGATATTTTTTTTCGTCGAATTATTCAACGACTGCCTGCGCCGGTTGGTGTTATTTCATTAAGGAAAAATTGAGTTGGCTCGTACGAGACGTCTTGTTTACCGTCTTCGTGACAGCCATGCTGTGTTTACTGCTGAAGTACTTCGCAAACGAATGCCCACGTGATATGAAGTTTATTACACTCTACGATCGACTGCTCGGCGGCTACAGACGGCTACAAGCAAAGAAATAAGTGTAAGCTGCTCCGCATAGAGCCCTTGCTGTACCACCCAGAGATGATTTACATATAGGACCCGTCCAATAGAAATTGCTTACGTGACGTAAAGTGTGTTTCGTGTATATATTTTTCAATTTCAGTTATTGTTTGATTGTTTTCTTGTACAAAAACGAAAAGATGTTGGAACTAAAGTCAAATAGCGTGACGGAGGACCCGCACACTTGTGCACATTTCGTAGATCACAAATATGTGTTCAGTTCAGCTGTTCACCTTGATTGAACAGCTTTAGCTGCATCCAGGCCATCATGAAAAAAAGAAACGATAGAGAAAATAGCTCACATAAAAACTACTATGTTGACATTGAAATTGACTACAAACCTCGTGTGTTTAAAAAAAGGGAGCAACGATTCAGAGTACAAGTTACTCTACTATAGGAGAGCATAAAGCCGTTGCTACAGCCCGTCAGAAAAATGGTATAGAACATCAGGGTCATGTGAATTCGAGCAGATGACTTTTTCATGAGGTACTTATTCGTGTCTGGGTTTAAAAAAAGGGAGCAACAATTCAGAGTACAAGTTACTCTACTATAGGAGAGCATAAAGCCGTTGCTACATCCCGTCAGAAAAATGGTATAGAACATCAGGGTCATGTGAATTCGAGCAGATGACTTTTTCATGAGGTACTTATTCGTGTCAATAGTTTTTTGCTCGATAATTCGAACTTTGTAGCAAATTACCGGGAAGGTTCATAGTACACTGCTAAAAGAGACCTAACGTTTTAACTGAGAAACCTTTAGTCTATATTTTGCGTAGCATTTAAATTTATCAGTAAAATACTGCTTTGAGTTAGTGCGTAAACCACAAGTCCTCATTGACTCGCACCAACGAATGTAAGGCACGACGTGGTGGTAGGGCGGAGCTAGTACTTACTCGTTTCTTTTTTTTTTTTTTTTTTTTTTGTAGCTGGCTATAGATTATGGGAATGGATTGAAAGAGGAATGACAGGGAGGTTAGCCAGTAATATGGGCATGGGCCGGGCACGTAGCACGCAGGCAGGATAACCGCTTGAGGGTAACTGACTCAATTAATCGATTAGGGGAACTGGCTCAATTCCCAGAGAAGGCAAATGCGCGAGAGGGAGACGGAAAGTTAGGTGGGCCGATGGGATTAGAACGTTCGCAGGTATAACGTGGCAGCAGAAAGCACAAGACCTGGTTGATTGGCCGATCATGGGAGAGGCCTTTGCATTCCAGTGAGCGTAGTCGAGCTGATGATGATGATGATAGAAAATGGAATACCTCTATATGCTACTTTCAGCAACATGCAGCTGCAATATAAGATTAATTCACTCGTAGTACTTGCGATGAACGACTTTAGTGATGAAAAGTCGTTAAAGACCAAGAAGGCCACGCCAAAATCTAAAACTGACATCATAACGAGCTGGTACAGGTAGTTTAAGACCATGTCTACTACTTGTCCTGAATTTATACAATCTGTCTCCCAAGGTGTGAGTTACGGTAATTGTTAATTCAAGAATGTGAGATATTGAAAGAACTTAATCAAAGACGCCTTAACGATTGACGTACACCGAAGCACTCCATTCTGTCAAAATCAGTCTCTCAAGGTGGAGCTAAATTAGTTTAGCCTAATGTTAGCGGTGCACTTCACATTCGTTAAGCATAAAACGTACTTTGGGATTGTCGCGACTCGAGCTCGGGCTCTTGCGTACCTGTGTGC